CGGCCCTCGTGGGCAGGTAGCCCCCAAGCCTCTCCCCGTAGCAGCGTCCCAGCTCTTCTGCCAACACCTCAAAGTTCCCCGCCATGTTCGCCATTTTTGGCCGTGGCTGCCGCGACTGCCGCTCCAGCGCGTCGGCCCTCCTGTCATCCCCCGCCTCCCGCAGCTCAGCCACCTGCCTGCCCATCATCTGCCCCTCCACGTGGTTCTTGATCGCCTCCAGGTTGTGCTGAATGTCCTCCACCGCAAAGCGCTCCAGCAGCGGCTCAACCACCTTCACCCGACCGGCGTCGATCCCCATCTTTACTTCCATCGCATACTTGAGCACCACAGGCTCGGCACCCCGCTTTTCCCCCTCCGATATTATCCACTTCCCCTGCAAGACATCAAACATGCCCTCCCGCTGCCGAAACTGGATCTCCGCCATCGGCTTCTCAACCATGTCCAGCACGCTCTCCACGCTCATCTCCATGTCGGGATACGACTTCACCGCCACCTGCCGCACCCGGCAGTACCCCGCCGGCGCCCCCTTCGGATAGCCCATCACTTCCGACTCTGCCAAATTCGGCAGGATATCCGCCAGGTTGTTGTAGTCCGTCACGACCTGCCACAGCTCCTGCCTAGGCGCGTTCACCGCGATCATCGCCACCACCCTCCGGTGCAGGCAGCTCAGCGTGTCCAGTTTCCTCAGGTGCACCTCGCTCCTTGACGGCCCCCGCGGGACAGCCTCAAACGTCGGGAATCCCTCCCCCTCCTCCCCCCATTCCCCATCATCCGAGCTCGACGCCGCTGACGGCACCATTGGCGGCAATGGCACAGAATTGGTGCCCAAATACTCCACCGGCATCCCCTGGACGGCCGTCCGCCCCACTCTGCGCCTTCTAACCCCCCTTTTCCATTTTCCGCCCTCCCCAACAAGGGGGAGTTTTTTTTGTTCTTCACTTTTCATTCTTTGCTTCCCGAATTCCCCCTCCCCACACCCGGCCACCCCAGCAGCCTCATCCTGCACCCTGACATCAACCCCCCGCCCCCGCGCCTCCCTCGGTCCCTCCACCTTAATAACCACATCATCTTCAAGAGCCCCCGCCGCGAAATTTGGCGGCCTGACCTTCACCGCCTCCTGCTTCTCCGCCCTGTCCCTCAGCCCCTCGATGTTCCGCGGCAGCCAGGATCTCACAGCGAAATCAAAAAGAGCATCCGGCAGATCCACTCTCAAGGAAACCACCGCATCAAACCTCAGCACGCTAGTGTGACCAGATTCCCCATTCGAATCCACGCACCACCGGCCATAATACTGGGCGAATGCTCCCCTGGGCTCAACCATTCTGAACCGAATCTCAAGCGCGCCGGAAGCCAGCTCAACCTCCTCCATCTCCAAAACGCCTTCCGCCTCCACGCCCCAGAAGTCGCCGCCATTCCTGGCCTTCTGCCTCAGCAGCGTCCTCCCTTTCCGGCCCCCGGGCAACACCTCCGATGCCACCAAATCGGGCACCACCCTTGGCAGGGCCCTGTAGTTAGTCAGCACGCGCCAGACCTGCTGCGGGGGCGCCCCCACGTCCGTCTTCGCCACCACTCTCTTCGATAATCCCCCTTTAAGAAGTTGTCCAGCGTCCCCAATGCTCAAGTCTCGGGATTGCTCAACGCGGGTCGATGCCGAGCTAACCGCGGGCACCCCGCGGCATCTCCTCCTGGGGCCACGGCCTCCAAGGCCGCGATGCGCATTTGGGTTGTCTTCGCCCCTGGATTGCTCAACACCGGTCGGTGATGCGCCAATCGCTGGCACCTCGCGGCATCTGCTCCTGGCGCCACGGCCACCGAGGCCATGATGCGCGTTTGGATCGCCTTCGCGATACCTTGAAGGAGGTCGGAGGGTCTGCTGGGCGCTCAAGGCGCCGGCAGCACTGCTTGTCCTCGGGTGCGCCATGACAGAATGGGACTGGGTGGGCACTGGACGCCCCCGGGGCCCGTTGGGCGGTGTTGGCGGCGAATGGCATCTCGGTGTGCGGTGGCGCGCTGTGATTGGTGGGTTGATTTGGGGCGGTGGGAGACTTTTTTCGGTGGGAGGGTGGGCAGGGCGGCGCATCAAAATGGCGTCGAAACGGGACCGGTGGAGGGTATGTGAGATTGTTTCTGCGCCTCGTAACGCTTGCGGGAGGGCAGGCTTTCATTGCAGCGGGGACAGCTGTCCTGTCCAACCTCTTCCACCTGCTTTCCTGGGGGGCTTCAACGTCGTTGTTGACGTTAACGTCGTTGCTGAGCGCTTTGTGAGATGTTGCATCGTGACACTTTCTGATTTTCTGGGTGCGGTGGAGCCATTCGCCACCAGCATGGCGTCGCTACGTGAAGCGAGTTAACTACAGGCCGGCCGGCCCGATCTTTGGGACCGAGCACCATTACCTGAACTCGAAGCTTTCTGGGTCAGACGAGATGGGAGATGGCCATGCCACAGACAACGACTATGCAAAGTCGGTATGCCATGCCTACTCCCAACCAGTGGAAGAACGACCCGCCTTTCTGCTTCATCAAGCGCCCACTTCCGGCCCAAACATGATTGCCTCTTAACTTTTGGGCCAGATAGACGGAACAGTGCTTCTGACCCGCGGGCCACCCGGCAAATTGAAGGCTAGTTTGTATCTTCAAGTCGAATGTGTGCTCACAGATGAGCAGGATATTGTGTTCCACTGTTCTGTTTATCCAAACTTTGTTTCTCTATCAATCAGCAGCCTTCAGCCAGTTCTTGTCACCTTTCACATCAGCAAGTACTCTTTATGCATCAGGGAGTATCATCCAGGATCAAATTGTACTGCTATGTGGTTCATTTTTCATTGAAATCACCGGTTGCCCCACCCACCCACTCACCATTGTTTCCCTGCCATTGTCTCCTTATTACAAACGGCTATTATTGCCTTGAATGGCTTATTGCTAAATACATGCACGCAGTCTGCATGGCATCATGCATTGGCGTCCACCTCAGTGGCTCCGTTGGTCATTAGGGGCATTGCGGTTGTGCAGAGACTTCCTGTGCCATAATCACTTCCTCTCAGAGGGCAAGCACAGCCTGCACTCCCCGCGCTTCAAGCAGCTGTGTGAACAAGGCATCCTGTAGTTGTGGTTGCCTGGGTCACGCCACATAGGGCGTAGACGATGTGACCATGTGCAACCAGCCCACCTATCTCTGATACTTCAAATTCTTAAAAGTTGATCAGTGGGGGGCCGCTGTGCTCCGATACTGAAGTTTGCCCTAATGAGGACCACAACGGGCGTACCATATTGGCCACATGCAAACTGCTGCGTTGCCTGCGTCCATACCACCTGCCATCCAAGCCATGTGGGTTCAGCCCTGACAGTGATGCACCTGCTGGAACACCAGCATGGACAGCTAACAAGTGGATCTGGGCAGCACATCAGCACACACACCCCGATTTCAACAGCTTTCATCAATCACCACCACGGGTTCAATTGCAGCCAGGTACTTCCAAACTCAAGGATGTGTATCATGAAGGCTGTAGGTAGCTGCCTCAAAACGATATGCAGACAGTACTGCTTGTCATTGCTTGACACACACAAGGGCACTGCTCAACCCCAGACAGCAAATGCCCCCAATGTGAATTTACACCATGGCAGTCAAATTTCAAGTTCATCATTTCCAGCTAAACGAAATAAAGAATGGTCACGAATGAAGCCAGGGTTCTCAACTAGACCTGCCTGAAGATATTTTCCAGGACTCAGTCATAGACGCCACCCCTGGAGGTCAGTTTACAGCCGTACGGGACCATGACATGCATCCGGCCCTGGACCCAACATAGAGGCACACCATGCCCATTACGTTCATTTGGCGCACAGCTCCCTCTCTCACCTCTTTTGGTGCTGCCTGCTTCTACTGTTGCCCCTAGACATGTCTACATCGTTTTTCTGCATCATGGCCAGGAGCCTTGTGGAACCACCTTTTGAAAAGGGTGTTTTCCCATTGTACACTGAACTTCCCTCACGCAGACCCATTCCCAAATGCCCGACCCCTCTCTTGTAGACCTCATTAGCAGACTCACCCTCTGGCAGGATGCGTGCACCTGCAAATTGCAAGTGTTACTGCAAGAATCAGGTGCTTAGAATCTGAATCGATTTGGAGACGAATATTTGGGCCCCTCCTGCAAGCCCCTTGTGGACTGCCTCCTGCGGATGCCCTGTGCATGACCTGTTTTCCCTCTTGCCGCTTTTCCTCACGATTATGCATTGCTCAAGGTCTGCAGTGGCCCAGCTCTGTAAATCCTCTTCAAGATCCACACAGGGATGCCCATTGCACAACACACTTTTCCCTCCAGTTAAGAAGGCAACTGCAAGCAATGCTCTCACAGATGCCTCCTGCAACTCTGCCTTAGGTCAAGATCTGCATGAGGCCATCTGCTGACATTTCTCCTTCATGACACGCTCCGGAATTCCCATTACATTACAAGATGGGCATTGCGCCTCCAGACAGGCCACCAGCTCTCTTGCTCTCCATGTTGCCCATGCTGCTCAGTCTTGTGTGTTCCCACCATGCCCCAAGAGACTTCCACATCATCCCCCACAGTGCGAAATGCAGGCTCTCAATCTCTTTGCTCTGCAGGTGGGGCCCATACCATGAGCCATTCCATTTCCCTAACCACTGAATCCTCTTCAAGCGTTCAAGCCTCCAAGCCTTGAACCTTCTGTTTCTTCCCCTTCTCCCAACTTCGATGCCTCGATGCATCTTCTTCTCGAGCCCTGATTCATCCCCTGGTTCTTAAGCCACCCCAGTGTCCCTCTCTTGACCATCCACAGCCCATGCAACTCGACGCGCCACCCACACCTGGCCCCGATCCCAATCAAGATGCCTTTCGAAGAAGGCGTCTTTTCACAAAAAAGACACTATTCTTTCAAGAAGGTGGTTTTCCACAGCATGGAAAAGAGTCTTGCATACACTTGCCCAGAAGGGAGTGCACTTTATGCAAACTGTGTTCTCTCCTGTTTGTCACAAATCTCATACATCAAGATGCTGGCGGCTCACCCCCCGCTCCTGCCGACCCAGCCTTCCCTTCCAATCGCTTCACCACCCTTGCAGGGCACCCCACAGCCAGCGAGTAAGGCGGGATGCTCCTGTTCACAACCGCCCCTGCGCCAATCACACACCCATCGCCGATCTCCACACCAGGCAGCACGGATGCCTTGCCGCCAATCCAAACATCGTTGCCGATTGTCACTGGCAGAGCGCTCTCCACACTCCGCCTCTCCACTGCATCAAGAGGGTGGGTGGCAGTGTAGATGTGCACTGCTGGGCCTAAGAAGACGTTGGCACCAATCTTAACCTTTGCGCAGTCGATCACGACACAGTCATAGTTGGCGTAGAAGTTGTCCCCCACGTTTATGTTGATGCCATAGTCGCAGCGAAAAGGGGGTGTCACTCGGCAGACGGGCCCTGAGGAGCCGAACCAGGTGGAGATGAAAGCTGCCTTGGTGGCCTCGTCGTCCTGGTAGCCAATGTCATCGTTATAGGCACGCGCCTTGCGGAGGGAGTCCATTCGCACTGTGGGCGGGGGGCCAAGATCAAGAAGTCAGCCTCTCATCGATTGAGGCAGGTTAAAGAGCAGAAGAAGGGCAAGTTTTCTTTGTCTTCGATGCCCAAATAAAGAAGGGCTTGGTCAGGAACAACTTCTCTTGGATTGATGCCAGGTGAGGAGCAGAAGCATGTGTGCTGGAGAGCCATGTCAATTGAATTGATACACAGAGGAGAGCAGAAGCAGGGTTTCTCTCAGTGATAGGTAGACACTGGGGAGCAGGAGTGGGGTCATGTTGTGGGAAAATCTCTCTTCGATTGCTGCATGGTGGAGAGGGCATCGGTTGAAGAGAGCAGAGGCAGGTAATGCTGTGGAAGAATGCCTGATGGACTGGTGCACACACTGGGTGGGGGAGGGGAGGCATGCTGTGGAACGATCGCTCTCTGATTGATGTATGGAGGAGAGCATAAGCAGGGTATATTGGGGATCAATCTCCCTTCGACTTATGCACAGTGGAGACAGCACAAGCACGATTTTGCTGTGGAAGATCGGGAAGGCAGCCTCTCAGCGATTTAGTGCACTTTTGGGGGGCGGAGTGAGGGTATGCTCTGGGACGATTTGTATGAATGCTGCATGGTGAAGAGTGCATCGCTTGAAGAGAGCAGAGGGTGGGGTATGCTGTGGAAGAATGCCCAATGGATTGGCCCACTGAAGAGAGGGAGCAGGCCATGGTGTAGAACAATCTCTCTTCGATTGAAGCAAGGTGAAGAGAGCAGAGGCAAGGTACGCTGTGGAAGAATGCCTCATCGATTTGGGCACACTAAGGAGCAGGGTGTGGATATGTTTGGGTTTTGTCCCATCCTAAGCAAACACAATCTTATGGTGCTTGAACAGCCGGCAGCACTGATGCCCAGTGGGGATGGATGCTGGGACAAGAGACGTGGCTCGATTCAGGTTTGGAAGCAGGGGAGGAATCCTTCATCGATTGGTGTGAACTGAAGACTACAAGTGGGGCCCATGTTGTGGGAGAATCCCATCCCAAGCCAACATTTTCCTACGAGCGGTGAAGTGGGAAGCACTGCAGCCCAGCAGCGTTTGGCGCTGGGACAAGAAAGGTGGCTCGATTCAGGTTTGGGAGCAGCGGATAATGGGAGCAGTGAAAAGAAAGAGGTTCAGTGCATTGGGTATCCTCCCACGAGAAGCAAAGCGCCTGTACACTTTGGAGGGGACCCGGGAGTCCAGATGTGTTGGTGCCCGGCGAGGCGACAGGAGGCTGTGCAACGAACTCCTGAAAGGATCGCAACTACTTCATGCCATGGAGGAGGGGCATTGGTCACGAGCGGAACAGCTGAAACGCAGGGCATCCAGTCAAACCGGAGTTTGGCGCGGCGACCAGAAAGCACAACGCGACGGCGGGCAAAGAGTATCAATTCACTATCCGTTCTAGATGCTTTTTACATGGTGTGTCTCCTTTGTACAAAACCGCAATCGGAGCAGGGAGGAGACGATTACATTGAAGAGGGTCATGGGTGGTGAGGCGGACGGCGCCCAGCGTTTGTTTCCAAGGGCGCGCGGAAGCGAAGCGAAACGTTCCAGACCGACGCACAGGACAAGTCAGGCACGATGAACGACGCTCAAACGTCACTGGATGCGCACAGGCTATCGGGGAATCACGCGGGTGGCAGAGAGCCCAGGGTTCGATCCCAAGCGTGCGTATGTGAGCCAAAACGCTCCAGAGCACTGCATGGGTCGCGCCAGGCATGCCGAGCGACGTTCAGACACCACTGGATGCGCGCAGGCTGGATCCGAGGAGCCCAGCCTTCTGGAGAGCGCAGACAAGGAACAAGCAGCAACGATCACAGATCACTTGCAGAGTGCGCAGGCTCCCTAGGCCGATGCCAGCCTTCCAGGGAGACGATAGAAACGATAAACGGCAATCGACGTCCAGAGAGCACAGGCTAGGCGCCGACTGGACGCGGCCAACGCCCCTTTTGCACGCCTTCGCCTTACTTTTGGTCAGCTGGGGATCGAATCCGTCGTACGGCACCCCCGAGAGCATCTTCTCGAACTCCTCGCACGGAGCGGCCATCCCGATCCAGCGGCAGGCGGCGCCGGTTGGTGGGTCAGCGGCCGGCGACCGGGTCAACGGGCCAGTGGCGGTGGCCGTCGTCTTTGCAGGAGCGGCTGTGGACTCGTGGGCGCCCGGGGTTGGGTGGGTGGATTCTAATGCACTGTATGGGACACGTGCCAGGTGCCCGTCAGGTGCGCTAGGACGTATTTGTCGAGCCCGTGTTCGTTGCACGGGCGTGCGGTCACCAGCGAATAACCTGGAGCATGTGCGCTGCGTTGCCGTTGCCGCAATGCTTCTTGACTTGCACAGTCGGGTTTTGAAATCAGTTTGCAGGCGAGCCCAGAGGGCTGCGGGGGCGAATGTGTGCATCTGCAAACTGTGCCCGCCCTCTTTTAAGCAGGCTTGGTACTTACGGCGTAGAGACAGATCGTATTTCCGTTCTTACGTGTAACAGGCATAAAAGTACCTAAGTACAGGCTTACATACCCGTGTACTTAAGCAGGCTTGTTTTTTACGTTTACGTTTTTACTTTTACATTTTTACGCGTAAAAATGTAAATTTGCAAAAGGGCCTATTTTTACGGCTATTTTTTACGTTTTTACGGCTCCCTGGCACACGTAGGTTACACGACAAAAGTTGCCTATAATGATCAGTCCTCCGCCATCTGCAGCACCTGCAACACAATGTCCTCCTCGACCATGGCAAGGGCGATAATGACGTTCAACAAAAACTCGACTTCTGCCTCTTCCAAAGCGTCTGGCTGCCACTCTCCGGACTCTGTAAGTCTGCATGTACTGTCGTTATGTACACCAATCAGTTTTTACGTTGTATTTACGTATTTTTACGCATTTTTACGCGTAAAAACGTAAATACGATCAGTTTTTACGGCGTAAAAACCAAGCCTGTACTTAAGGACAGTAGATACAGACTCAGGGAGTCCAGGGAGCGGCAGCCAGACGCGCTGGAGTGGGCAGAGGACGACCTTCTGCTCGGTGACGTCGTTGCCCTTGCCGTGGGCGAGGTGGACGCTGTGTTGCAGGTGCTCGAGGGGCTGGAGGACTGATCATTGTATGCGACTTCATCATGCAACCTGGATGCCCCAGCGAGCCGTAAAAATAGGTAAGTGTAGCCGCAAAAGTAGCCCCTTCTGCTTGTTGACGTATTTGCGCACAAGAGCCCTAACGTTAACCTAAATGTCAAGCCTGCTCTTAAGAGAGGAAGTATCAAGACCAAGTCCTGGCCTCAGCTGCCCGGACATCGCTCTGGGGTTTTGAGCCTCCCCAAATTTTCAGAGATAGAAATTTAACCATTATCAGGGCCTTCTGCGTCCGCACAATTCCGCAGTAAGTGAAGTTTAGTGTGTTTAAGTTTAATGTGCTGCTATTCTGGGACAGATTCCGTGGCATTCCGTGACTTCCTGTTTCTAGTTTGAAGTCGATTTAGTCAATCCCCATGTTAGTGCAGAGATTATTGCGCCACCGATATTTGATATAGTGAGGGCCTTACTGAGCCGGGCGTCGAAGGAACGCACCATCTCAGCCTCAAGCTCAGAGGGAAGGTACAATCCCCTCTTCTCACAGATGCTTACATTAACAACAACACGCAGCTCAAGCTCGAAGGCACACGTCATCGCGCATTGATCTGCTCATAGGGGTGCGTGAAGGACTTGGTGACTTGAACGACAGCTTTCGTTCAAGTTGAGGATTGCAAAGGTAAATTTGAACGATTGACATTGATAATACATGTACCGAGTAAGTACAGTATTTGTATACATTGCTGGTTGCCTTCGCGGCAACCCCATGCACAGCGCTTCCTCAAATCCACCACCAACCACAGTCTTGAGCATCTTCGGACGGTACGACCGAACTCTGCACCGTCTGCGGCAACCTCTCCTTTCCCTTCCCAGCCAGCGCGGCATCACTATCGACATCATGCCAAGCTCAAATGTCTCAAATTACAATATACATTGTACACTTATTGTGCATGTACGCGTCGCAAATGTCGCAATGTCGTAAAAATGTATGCACAGTACATGTCGCAATGTCGCAACACGCACGCTGCATCAGCCGTCAATCTCAGTAAGCGCACCCACACGGCACATTCTGTGGGAACATCCACCTTCGCACCATCCTCCCCCTCTCTCCTTTTGTGCCAAGCCGCTCGGCCCAAGTGCCCCTTGCCCAAACCCATCCCCAGAACAGGCTCCAGGAGTCACAGGTGCTTTGCAAGGATGAGCCATACCGGCCTGGGGGGGCCCAAGGCGCCGAGGTCGGGCGCGCTGGGCGGCGGGCGCGCGGAGGCGATCGCCGCTGAGGCGATTCCGGCCGCCGTGCTGACGGGCGCATTTGCGCTGCTGCCGTTCGCGGAGAGGTGCGGGTGCGATGGGAGAGGGAGGGGTGAAATCGCAGGGCTATCTTTGAAGGACACTAGAAATGAAAGCGCCACTTTTGATGACACCAGAAAGCACGAACTTTTGGATGCAGTCACAATGATTGCGTTGGCACAAAAGTAGCCGTTGATGACGGCAGTTGGTGTCAAACGGGATGGTGGTAGGCTTCGCCAGATTCTAGCTTTCTGCTGATGGGAGGGCCGGTAAGGGTGGATTTTGCTGTTTGTTGTGCATGGGAGTGGGTGGGGCGCCTGGTGGTGAGGTGAAGGGCTGCGCATGCTGAACGAATGTGGTCGTCTTGGGAGGAGGGGAGGGGAATCGCAGGATGGATGGTCCCAATCCTGTTCAGCATCATCTTTTGTTTCTGGGAAGATTACTGCAGTTTGGTTGTTGTGGCAGCCACGGGGGCTTCACCTGCTGTGTGTTTGGGGATGGGGAAATAAATCACACGATCGACGTTTCTGATCATTATCAGTGATCAAGTTTCGTGCTGGTTAAGATTGTTGCAATTCCATTGCTATGCACATCGTCTGGTGACGGGCCCACGACATGGGTGCACAAAGC